CATGCCTTGAAGAGTGGACCAATAATTCTTGAAATGGACACACACCTGTAGGTATCATGGTCGCTCCATGTTTGATCTTGGAAGTACCTATATAACACGTGATGAGATTAGTGGTGTTAGGCATGAGCGTGATCCAAATGAAAGAATTAGAAAGTTGATATTATCCCATAACCTAGCTTCTGAGAAAGAGTTGAAGGACATCGAGAAGGAAGTGAGAAAAGAGGTGGACGATGCAATCACTCGAACAAAGGAAAGTCCAATGTGACTTTCGGTCCTGCAATTGCCGTGGGGGCCAATGAATTATCAATTACTTTCGGTGCTGAAATTGTCGTGGGGTCCAATGCATTTTCAATTGTTGCATTTGCCGTGGAGACCATTCCATTATCATTTTGTTTATTCATTGCAAACACATGGCTATTCAAATCATTATCAATCTCCAATGTCAAATGTGGGGCCAAATTTATTTGATTTCCACCTACAGCTTGGAATTTCGAAGAAGCATATGGTAAGAACTTGGCCTTGTCTCCTAATTTTCATTAGTTTTTGTTTACGGCCCAATAGTGTAAATTATTTTGGTCCAGTCTCTAATTTTAGTGATTAATTATTAAAGTAACCCACAAGTATTTTATTATACAAATTGGGTTTCCAAATTATTATTTAAATTCTAATAAGCTATCTTTATGGCGAGGGAAATTATTTGGATACGAGTTAATAATTTTGATGGCCTGGATCGTGAGGATAATATTGAAAGTTAAATTAAAGATCGAGGGCGTTCAAATGGAATTTAAATGGTCGATCGATATGGCACGGAAAATCGAGGTAATACTTTACTACCTCTTTATGCTTTATGGAACATGTTGATATTGGTAAATGCATGAATAAGATAATATTGGTCACTTTTGTGGAGTTGAATAATTTATTCACTCGATATGAATGTGGTAGAAATTCTATAACTGAATACGGATCGAATGACTAAGATAAGAGATTGATAATTGTTAGAATTAAATTACAAGTTTGTGATTGGTGATAAAGAAATCAGCTCTGGATTTGTAACTTATATTTTATATCATCAAGGGTTAAATGTTAAAGATACTTGGATGAAAAATTTATGAGAATACTCCGATATGGTAAAATTACGAAATTACCCTTATGTTGGAAAATGATAAGAATTGCCACAGGAAGTTGGTTAATAACTCTGAAAAGACATATTGATCCGATATAACTACTGATGTGCATAAGAAATGTTAGTTTTATTTGGAAATTATGGATAACCGGTTTTAATCCTATGAGAGTTTGTGAAGGAATCATTTCAAAATCAAAGAATGTTCGGGAAAGCAATTGATCATAGGATCTCTAAATTATAATTATTTTCGTTAAGAGCTAATATTGAAATTTATCTGGTTAAGAAATTACGAAAATGCCCTTGAGAGATAAAATAGTCTGAATTGACCCTGAATGAGAGAGTACTTTGAGGATTTGTACTTAACTCGATTAAGTACAAATTTAATTGTTAAGATCCTGTCTTTGTACAAAAAAAATTATAATAGTCCGTTTGTAAAAATCTGAGAAGACACTTGACCCGAAAATATTCGAATAAGGAGTAAATACTTGAAGAGTAATTTATCGGAGGTATTCTGCTGACAGAATTGTTCGAAAGGACTGAAGTAAATGATAAGATTGAATTAAATAATAAGACCGGATGGAAGGAAATGATTGAAATGTTAAGCACCAAAATGACCAAAATACCCTTATGACCTAGAATAAGTAAATGTCTTGGATTAATTAAGAAATCCAAATAAACATGGATGTTGTGCTACCAGTAAAAGTTGTGGAATGCAACTTAAGTGATTAACCAACGTTAGTACTATATCTACCTGAATGATATAAGTATCACTTGAATGTTTGTTCATCTTCTCAAATTTGGATCGATGATAATTCTGGAAGTACTTGGCGCAGCTCAACTCTAGAGCGCATACAGTACTAATAAGTGGGTAGTCGTTAGTCAAATCAACCACGAATACCAGAATGACTTTATTATATGAATAAATTGAAATGAAATGAAGTACAACGTGTATTTGAAATTCAGAAACGTCTGAATTATTCTGGAAAACTTTAAAGTAATCGGGATAGACTTGCTTACCAAACGAACTAAGTAACATCAATGACTAAGGATTAAATAGGTGATTTGATGAGTTTGGAAACACTGTTGAACTTACATGATGGATTGTCATTATGGGTTATGATCCATGGATCAAGTACGTCAGTATTTCCTGATATTGTTGAAACGTGGAAATGAAATAAAGACTGTTGGAAGATTTATTCAGTGATGATTATGGGGATGATCTATGGATCTGCACTATGGTATTAAAGAGTGAATACACTGGAAGGATAATGAATTGACTTGTTGACATGCATCAGTTTGAGAGTTGTGTAACTCGAGTTGTTTGATAATATGATCGATAGTCGTAGATTGTAAATGACTTGAATCTTCGATTCTATATTTCATCTAAAATCACTTCGGTCAGTTTGAAAAATAAAAAAACAAGTAACGCAGATGGAAAAGATTCTGAATATCTCATTTGGTTCAATTGGGCTGAAATCCTATGAATTTAAAGTATATTCCTGAATACCCCTGATTGTTTGGGTAATGAAATCACTCGCAGTAAATCTAAATTTAGAATTATTATGTATAAAGGTTCCTGAACGTTTTCCTAAAGCACACGAAAATATAGTGGGATTCTAATGTATCAACATTAAATGTCTGGCTAGATCGGTTAGTAATCGATTCTCCTCAATAGGACCTTGTTTCAGGAATTCGTTCAAATTTCATAAGTTTCATATTATCCAAAATGATAACTACAATGGCCTCTGGAAATACTTGGATTCTCTAGTGTGTTCCCTACTTATTACTGAACTGTTTTATTGGTTTTAATATGTGGTACACCGAATTCATTGGTTATTGTTTTATGGATGCATCAATTTTATGTGACAATTTATGGAATATGGCTGCTATCTAATTTTTGTTTTGAAATGGTATATGATTACCATGTTTTTGGATTTATGGAATTTATGTCACGGTGCAATTGAATTTTGGAATTGTATTACGTGGAATAACTCTGATCAAGCTAAATGGGCCTAATGTGACTCTTGAGGGCCCCAAGATGTTTCATTAGGTCGGCTTTCCTTTGCTGTGTGCTTAGGGTAAGCTATATGGACTTATTGACTTGGGCTTAAGGATACAAGCTTCATAGCCTATCCTTAAGTCGGCTTTCTTTTTGCTATGTGCATAAAGTAAGCTATATGGAAAATAATTTTTGGGAACTACTGATGGTGTACCAGAAAAGGGTTTAAACTATGATTTTCAAAAGTTAAACTCTTTTACGAAATTGTGAGATTTACTGGACTATGATTTGTACCTATTATGATTTTATTATACTGTTGGAACACACTAGACATCCTATTCGATCTCCTGAAAATGTCATACTTTGAAAGGTTTCTTATGAAATGAGATTCATGGCTTCTACTCGATGAACTTTTAATAGAACCCCAAATTATTCTGCAAGCTGGTATACGTATGATTCAATAAGGAAATTATATGGCTTTCCATTTATCTACATGTCATGTAGCATCATCTGGTAGTTCTGTATTACTGAGCTTTCCAAAGCTCACTCTATTACTCACCTTTTCAGGTTAAAACAATTGTACCAGTGCATCTATCGACTTCAGTAAGAGAGTTCTTCCGGCGTGGTTGCAGAGTATGGTACTTGTGATTAGGGGGCATGTAATTGTATTTTGATTTATATACGAGTTTGGAAATCTGTTTTATTTTTAAATAGTGATAAATGATTTTATAAGTTTACATGTTCTGATAAAAAGTTTTAAAATTTCCGTTATTTTTACGGTGGGTCGCTCCGGTGGCCCTAATGTGACTTCCCAAATCAGATCGGGCTACCCGCATCGGTTTGGGGTGTTACAACCACCCTCTTCCTGTTCTTCCTTCAAACCTTTTCTTTTCCTTTTCCAAGAAAACACAAAGAAAAAGAAAAAGAAAAATGGCTTTGGTGGGCGAAGCATTTCTCTCGGCTTCCATTGAAGTGTTGCTTGATCGGATTGTTTCTTCCAATGTTTCCAACTTTATCAAGGGAAACAAGAAACCTCAATTGCCTTAAAACTAGATGACACTAGATTAACCTAAAACTATAGATGACACGAGGACGAACATTTTAGATTTCCAATTGCCTTAACCTCGACCCAACATTTAGAAATTAGGAGTCCATTCAAACCTCCCCGAACTTTGGAGTGAAGACCCGTCCTCGAGTCGACCCAACCCAAACTAACTAAAGACATATATGCAATGGAAGCAGAACATGAAACTGAGAATGCTCGCAGAAAAATCTATGAATTGAAGCGAAATCCAGGGATTAAAAGAACATAACTTTTTTCAAAATCATGAATAAAATAAAACAAGCCAACAACAAAAGTGACCACGCATGTAATTTACCATTGTTTTATTAGAAGAATCTAAACCGAGTGAATGACAATGCTTTGAGAACATTGACCAACTCCCTGAAAGGATAAAACTTCAATACAAGAAGAAATTACAACGAAACAAATGAGTATTAATTAATTTCTGACTTCTCACCTACAAATAATTACTACTTGGAAGATCACAATTCATTTCACACACTTTCCCCTCAACTTTCCCAACGAATTACAACCATACTTCCAGGAAATGAATATTAATTTCTGACTTTCTCACTTACCAATAATTACTACTTGGAAAATCACAATTCATTTCACACACTTTCCCCTCAACTTTCCCAAATAATTACAACCATACTTCCAGGAAATGAGTACTAATTTCTGACTTTCTCACCTAACATAATTACTACTTTGAAAATCACAATTCATTTCACACACTTTCCCAAAGACTTAGCACTGTGTCCGTTCTGTGTTCAACTTTATTGGATTCATCTCCAAAGTAATTCCTACTTTTCCATTGTTTTTGCAGACACTCTCTTCCCGTTCTTCCTTCAAACCTTTTTTTTCCCAAGAAAACACAAAGAAAAAGAAAAATGGCTTTGGTGGGCGAAGCATTTCTCTCGGCTTCCATTGAAGTGTTGCTTGATCGGATTGTTTCTTCCGATGTTTCCAACTTTATCAAGGGAAACAAGAAACTCGAAGCTGTTCTGCTCAACAAACTGGACCCTACCTTAATCTCTGTGAAAGCGTTGCTGGATGATGCTGAAAAGAAGCAGATTACCAACTCATATGTCAGGAGCTGGATTGTTAAGCTCAAAGATGCTGTTTATGATGCGGAGGATCTGCTAGATGAGATTGCAACTGAAGCTCTTCGACGCAAGATGGAATCCCATGATCAGACTACTATGAAGAAGGTAATTTCCTTTTTCCCTTCTCGGAATCCTTTCAAAGATGGGATGGTGTCAAAGCTGGATGAGATCCTTGGGAGATTAGAGTCTCTAATCAACAAAGCACACATCCTGTGTTTGGAAGTCAACTGTGGGAGAGAAAAGTCATCTCAAAGACCACCTGCAGCTTCTTTGGTGGATGAGTCTGGTGTTTATGGCAGAGATGGTGAAAAAGAAGAAATTTTGAGGTTATTGAACGCTCAAAATCCGACTGGAAATCCTATAGACGTCATTCCAATCGTGGGTATGGGTGGGCTGGGAAAGACCACCCTTGCTCAGTTGATCTACAATGACTCAAGGGTGGGCGACTGGTTTGACCTCAAAGCATGGGTGTGTGTTTCTGAAGAATTCGATGCTTTCCATGTCACCAAAACCCTTCTTGAAGAGATCACTCGTAGCAGTGATGATAGCCAGAGCTTAAATCAGCTTCAGCTTAAACTAAAGGAGAAGCTATCCGGAAAGAAATTTCTATTTGTTTTGGACGATGTTTGGAATGAAAAATATGTTGACTGGGCGGAGCTCAGGATTCCATTCTATTATGGGGCACAAAACAGCAAGATTATTGTAACAACACGTAATGAAGGTGTTGCCGCCATTATGAGGACCGTTCCAACTTATCGTCTTGAAACCTTATCCGATGATGATTGTTGGAAGCTATTTGCTAGCCATGCATTTGTTGGTACAAACCCAAGCAATCATCCAAAGCTGAAGGCCATCGGTGAAGCAATTGTTAAAAGATGTGACGGTCTCCCTCTGGCTGCGAAAACTCTGGGAGGACTCCTACGTTGCAAACTAGACGCTGCTGAATGGAGCAAAATATTAGATAGCAATTTCTGGGACATACCAAATGATTCATGTGTTCCAGCACTGAGATTGAGTTATTATTATCTTCCCTCCCATTTGAAGCGTTGCTTCGGCTATTGTTCAATTTTCCCCAAAGACTATGAATTTGAAAAGGAAGAAGTTATTCGTTTATGGATGGCTGAAGGTCTTTTAGAGTTTCCTAGAGACAATGGTGATGTGGAAGAACAAGGTAACAAGTACTTCAAAGATTTGACATTGAGGTCATTTTTTCAACAATCTAAAGTGAAGAAATCTTGTTTCATCATGCATGATCTAATCAATGACTTGGCTAAATCTGTCACCGGAGAATTTATTTGCAGATTAGAAGGTTGTGGTGGTTCTTCTGAAATAACCGAAAGGACTCGTCATTTGTCCAATGTCCGAGAAGAGTATGATTTGAGAAAGAAATTTGAGACTGTACCTAAAGCAAAAGCTCTGCGTGCATTCGTGACTCTTCAATCATCACGGTGTTGGTTTTCACGGGTTACCAATGATTTAATGCCTGATTTGTTGTTGAAGTCAAGCTTACGGGTTCTTTCTTTGGCTGGGTATCACAATATCAATGAATTGCCGGAAGAAATTGGTAATTTGAAGCATTTGCGGAATTTAGATCTCTCAAAAACATTAATTAAAAGGTTGCCAAACTCTTTGAGTACATTGTATAATTTGCAGACCTTAACATTGTTTGGGTGCAGCGAACTTGTTGAGTTGCCAGAAGACATGAGGAGATTGGTGAGCATGCGTTATCTTGATATTAGGGGAATACAATTAACGAGGATGCCAAAGGGATTGGGTGATTTGAAAGATCTTCGAATATTAACTGATTATTTTTTAGGCGACCACAATGGTTCAAGCATTAATGAGTTGGGAAAGCTGAAGCATCTCCGTGGAAGACTTGCCATTTCTGGTCTAGAAACTGTTGCACGTGCAGTGGATGCCAAAGATGCCAGTTTGAAGGATAAGATGCATCTTGAGGTGTTGGAGTTGAAATGGGGAGGAAATAATGATGGCGATTCGAAGCATGAAAGGGAAGTTCTTGAACAATTGGAGCCTCATTTTAACTTGGAGAGTCTTGTCATTCAAAGTTACAATGGCACGAGATTTCCGGAATGGGTGGGGCATTCTTCCTTCTCAAACATGGTATCTTTGGAGTTAAGAGATTGCAGGTTTTGCCAGTCTTTGCCACCGCTTGGGCAATTATCATCTTTGAAATCTCTTTCCATTTCTGGTTTCAGTGGAGTGGTAACAGTGGGTGAAGAGTTCTATGGGAGTGGACACACTTCGACTGTACCATTTGGATCTCTTGAAACTCTAAGCTTTGTGGAAATGTCGGAGTGGGAAGAATGGTTTTGTGGGAGTGATGATGAAGCATTCCCTCTTCTGCAAGAGCTAAGCATTATTGCTTGTCCCAAGCTAACCAAGTCTCTGCCCAAAGATCTCCTTTCTTTAAAGAAACTTGTGATTCAACATTGTGGAAATCTTGGAGGTGTTCTTCCAAGGGCACCGAATGTTTGTGGAGTTGAGTTAGAAGGATGTGATGCATTGCAATTGGAGCCATTGCCTTGCGGACTTCAAGAGTTGCGAATCACAGGGTCGACTATGAATGATTCCACGGTTGAACAGATGTTGCGACAATGCACCCATCTGGACAAGTTAAGCATGTCTGATTGTTCTGATATCAGATCCCTTCCTGAAGTTAATGTGCCTACGACGCTGAAGCAACTGGAGATCCAAATGTGCGATGCCTTGGATTATTCCAAAATATTATTGTATACATCCCTTGAATCCTTGAGGGTAGAGGGCAGTCGGTGTGATCCACTTGAAGAATTATGTTTGCCATTAGGATCGTTTCTTTCGCTAAAAAGGGCTACTATAGGGGGATGTGAAGACTTGAAGTTAATTGGTGGTTTAGGGGATACTCACCGCCAGCATCCAGCATGTCTGGATTCTTTGACTATCTCATTTTGTCAAAATTTGATATCTATTGGAATTGAAGATGTATTATGTGTCACCAATTTGACCCGACTTGCGCTTTATTATTGCTCAAGTTTAAAGTCATTGCCGGAGCAAATGAACTCCGTCTTTCCATCCCTTACGGAATTGCAAATATGGAGTTGTCCAGAAATAGAATCGGTTCCGAAAGCGGGTTTGCCCTCCAAATTAAAAACAATTGATATCAGCTGTAGTGATAAAGTAGTTGGGAGCATGATAAGTAGGAAAAGGGAATGGAGTTTGCAATCACTCCCTTCACTAACATTTTTCAGTTTCGTATGTACAGAATTGGAGATGGAATCTTTTCCGGATGAACTTTTGTTACCCTCTTCTCTTACATTTCTCGGTATCTACGGTCTTCGAAATCTGGAACGTTTGGACTGCAAGGGCCTTCAACACCTCACCTCTCTTTCTCGGTTGAACATCAACAACTGTCCGAAGCTTCAGTCCATACCGGAAAAGACGCTCCTTCCCTCTCTTTCTCAGTTGTCCATTCGAGATTGTCCGTTGCTGAAGGAACGTTGCCAAAAGGAGAAAGGCAGGGATTGGCCCAACATTTCCCACATCCCTGTCATTGTAATTGATGGTGAACTCATTACATAGAAAGGCAAGGATGGAGTGGCTTGTGCATTTATTTTGCTTTTTGATTTGCATTAAAATCTCTTCATTTGCACTAGGATTCTTCATGGTTGCTGGGTTAATAAGATTGGTCCCCATGAGTTTTAATTAAATCCAACATTTATACTTTGATGATAATTCCAGATAAATAGAAGATTCAAGATTGATATAAATTTACTCTCTTATTATGTTTGGTTCTTAAGGGGTCAGATTAGAAACATATGCCTGACGACTTATAGCTTTTTCTTCTTTTCACAACTCAGGATCTTTAGATAATTTCTGCTTTGATAGCTCGGGAACTTTGAACAATTCTGAAACTTTAGGAAATGCTGACTTTTGTAATTCAGGAATGTTAAGTATACGTATTTTATCATGCATATGGGATAAATAGATTTGGAGTATATTCGTATTAGATCCACGTGTACCGTAGGATATGCATATATCTATACAAAAACTCAGCTAATTATGTATCTACTTTGTAAATGATTAATCCTACTTCATTTCTTACTTTATCATCAAATGATTAATCTAGATCCATTTTTTTACCTGTTCGCATTATTTAAAAACAAAAGAGAATAACGTTTTCCAATTTTAAAGTTAATCATGTTATATATTTTTGTTTTATACCTTTTTAAATGTGTATATCTTAATATATTTTTAAATCATTAAATTATATTATTATTATTATTGAATAGTCTTATTATAAGGTATTATCTGTTATGAATATTTCTTAGCTATTAATAATGCATATATCGATACATAGTTTTCGAATTCAAGATTTTCAATGAAAAAATTACTTATTTTAACCATTTAAGTCTTTTAATGAATTCTTTCAATTATCGTATTATTTTTAAACTATATAAATAAAATAATATAACATATTAGAAGTTAAGAAAACGAATTTAAACTAATGGCCCGGCACTTAGTAATAGAAAGAATAATTAAAAAGTATTATAAGTGCTTTAAAGGTAATAATAACACCATTAAAGAAAGCTAAGATATTAGTAGTATTAAGCTCTTTAAAAATAATAAGGTTCTGTTATGAACCGCGTAATGTTTGATAAAAGGGAAAAGAACCGAATTTTTGAACCAAAAACTCCATTGCCATCCAATCCTTTGGAACGTTGTTATCCCCCGCTTGGGCAATTGTTAACATATTATACATCCCTAAGCCGATGGCAGTGCGTGTGACCCACTTGAAGAATTATGTTTGTCATTAAAATCGTTTCCTTCGTTAAAAAGTGTTTCTACAAGCCGATGTGAAGACTTGAAGTTCAATGGTGGTTTAGGGGGCACTCACCGCCAGCATCCAGCATGTCTGGATTCTTTGACTATCTCATTTTGTCAAAATTTGATATCTATTGGAATTGAAGATGGATTATGTGTCACCAATTTGACCCGACTTATGCTTTATGATTGCGTAAGTTTAAAGTCATTGCCGGAGCAAATGAACTCCGTCTTTCCATCCCTCGAGTCGTTGGGCATAGAGAATTGTTCAGAACTAGAATCAGTTCCAAAAGCGGGTTTGCCCTCCAAATTAAAAAGTATTTATATCAGATGGAGTGATAAAGTAGTTGGGAGCATGATAAGTAGGAAAAGGGAATGGAGTTTGCAATCACTCCCTTCACTTACATCTTTCGGTTTCTCAGATACAGAATTGGAGATAGAATCTTTTCCGGATGAACTTTTGTTACCCTCTTCTCTTGAATTTCTCGGTATCAATAGTCTTCTAAATCTGGAGCGTTTGGGCTGCAAGGGCCTTCAACACCTCACCTCTCTTTCTCGGTTGAACATCAACAACTGTCCGAAGCTTCAGTCCATACCGGAAAAGACGTTCCTCCCATCTCTTTTTCTTTTGGAGATTAAACGTTGTCCGTTGCTGAAAGAACGTTGCCAAAAGGAGAAAGGCAGAGATTGGCCCAACATTTCCCACATCCCTCTCATTGTAATTGATGAGGAATTCATTACATAGAAAGGCAAGAATCTAGTGACCGTGCATTGTTTTTATTTGCATTAAAATTCGTCATGACTCGCAGTTTGCACTAGGATTCTTCATGGTTGCTGGGTTAATAAGATTGGTCCCATGAGTTCTAATTAAATCAACATTTATATTTTGATGATAATTCCAGATAAATAAAAGATTCAAAATTGATATAAATTTATTCTTTTATTATTTTTGGTTCTTAAGGGGTCAAATTAAAAACATATGCCTCAAGAATACAGTTTTTTCTTCTTTTTACAACTTCGGAATTTTAACTTGATTTAATTTTTGCAATTTCGGTAACTTGGAAACTTTAGAAGTTCAAGCTTGGACAGTTCTGGCACTTTTAGAAATTCGAGAACCTTAGGCAACTCTGAGGTGGTGTTTGGTTCGCATGAATCCCTTGAAATTAGGGAGAATTGAAATCCAATTCTACCACTTTCCCATGTTTTGTTCAAGTTTTCAAAGGGGAATTGGAATCCAATTCAATCAAAGGAGGGAAAGAAAATTTCATCCATAAAATGACGGAATTGAAATCTTTTGGAAGAGAGAATGTGAAATTTGACCATACTACCCTCATCAATCTTTTGGTAATTTACTAACATATTTTGATTGGGATTAGGGATAACCACTCAACCCGGACCCGACGGGTTTTTACCCGATCCGATCAGGTCGATTTTTTTTTTAAAAAAAATCGAGCTCGGGTCGGGTCGGGTTTTTTAAGTGTGATATTCAGGTCGGGTCGGTTTTTTTAAGTGTGATATTCGGGTCGGATCGGATTCGGGTTTAGAGTGAAAAATACCCGACCCGACCCGAAAAAATATATAATTTTACCTTATATATTTAGGAATAATTACAATAATACCCCTCTATATATACTTTTTTTTTCAATTAAGTCACTATTTTTATTGAATAAAAATATTTTTTTATTTCAGGCCGGGTCGGGTTTCTAATTCATATGTTCGGGTCGGGTGAAACTTTATTTTAATTGGGTCGGATCTCGGGTGGAGGTTCCCTTGTTCTCGGGTCGGGTCGGGTGGACCAAAAACCCGACTCAACCTGACCTATGATCATCCCTAATTAGGATGATTTTAACTTATGATGTTTATTAGTATGATTTTTATAATGTATTGAAATGAATAATCAATCAATAAAATAAAAATTTAATATTTTTAAATTTTTTATAATATATTGCTACATGTAAGTTATAAAACAAACTAAAATTAAGCAAAAAAAAATAAGAAAGGTAATTATGTCATTTTACATTATTAAAATCAAATTCATCTGACATGTCTGCGAACCAAACATAATATGAAATTGGATTCCAATTTAATTTCTTGCCAACTAAACAGGTTTCAGATTCAGATTCCAATTCCTACAGATTCTAATTCCTTCACAGATTCTAATTCCCTCATAAACATTCCAACGAACCAAACGTCACGGCTTTTTGTATCTCTGACATCTTCGGCTTTGGGAGTTTGGGAATGATAGTATGAACGACAATTCTGATTTAGGATGCTCAGGTTTCTCCTTTTGCTGATGACTTGATACAATTTGCAGAAGGCTTACTTGATCAATTAGATATTATTCATTTTGCAGAAGCCTTACTTGATACACTTTGGTGTTACCATTTTGTTAAGGGTTGGTTATTTGGTTATGAGAGTTTGTTTACAGCTTGCGTGCTGATAGTTTGGGTTATAAATTGCATCAGCTGTGCTTTAATAAAAATTTACACTTCTTTGGATCTTAAAGACAAAGGAGTACGGGATTGACCAAGGATCCTCCAAATATTTGGAAAAACTTGGAGAATTTTTTTGAAGATACCCATATATGTTCTATATCCGACATTCATAACCAAGTCCGAGTAACTTAGTATTATAAAAATAAAATGGAATAACCTTAGTACACCAGACTTTACAATGTCGGAGCAAACCCAATGCAGGAAGTCGCTATCTTTGCAGCTTCCCGGCAGAGTGCAAGTAAACCGATACCGATACAACACTGCAAAAACCAGAGAAATGTGGTAATCAAACATAACCGCCACAAGTTTTGATCTGGACGAAATGATATACACCCTATATGCATGAGGCACATGGATTCAGTGCTGGACCATTTACCGAGCGGCGACATTCTGAACTATGATAGATGCCTGAACTGGACTCGTGCATAAGATACTATTAACTGTCTGTATAGTAAAATTTGGCCGGAGATAACTTATGTGGCACCAAGGAAGAACGCTAGGGTCAGATTGAAGCCAAAGAGAAACACGGAAACAACGGCACATTCCTCGTAAAGAGTTCATTGGAACTTCAATTGAAGGATTCAAAATGGTTACAAAATGTGTTATGCATGCAAAGACACATTCCTCGTACCATAACAACACTTTTATCACATTCCCGAGTAGGCTGATAATTATTTACGTTAAAGAGTTCATTCGAAATAATATGAGTTCAGATAAATAAAGCTCTTACTTGTTAAAATAAAGCACCGTATTTACAGGTTTCGGCATCAAGGAAACTAGAATTTACTTAAAATGGATTCAGAAGAATAGAAAAGTAACCCAATCTTCATGAGAAAGGATCAGAAACTTCATTGTAAATTGAACTACAAATGTATGTCCATGCAAATGCATGAACATAATTACTCTATGCTAAAACCATGGCATGCGCAACTCACATGATCCTAACAAATCAGAGAGATGGATGTAAATTCAGACAAATAAATGATTAAATAAATATGAAATTTCATATCATGTCTTACCTTCACAATATTGTCCGCATATTTCATTACCATCGATACAGCAATTCCACTGCAAATGGAACAAATACATGAGCAGGTTTCATGAAAACGAAACAGGGGAACTAAAAGGTCCTTACTTGAACAGAGATTCATATAAGCATCGGCTGCAGTAAGCTTGTCAAACTCGAGAATTTCTATTACTTGTAGTATTAAAAGGGCAGGTAAGCAGCAAAGAGCTAGACAAGTTTTTCTGAGGTTCATGGTGTTCTTACATGGCCTTCTAACAAGTTTTTTTTAGGTTCCCAGTGTTCTCCAAGAGCAAAGTTTAATTATCAGAAAAGATTGCAATATCTTCTTGAATACAATGTCTACTACAAAACTATAAATAGAGTCAGCAACTAGGTGCTATCAAACTTACTCAAGCCAGAAAGGAGAATGCAATACCTGAGTGCATGGTTAAGGATCATGAGAGTGGTAATTATTGAGTATCCATGGAAGAAGCCCCTGAGCAAATGAAATAAATTTCAAAATTTGAATGAAAGAACTATCAAGGATTACGAAGTTATTAAAACAGAACTCTATTTCTAAACAGATGATTTTTTATTTTGTAAGATGTATCATTTATGTGAGTCACATAAATGCACAACATGCTGAGTTAATAATAATATTTCTAAGATAGGTGACAGCAACAAATTTAAAGGTTCAGATTACTTGTTCATGATAGCATCAAAATCTTGTACTAGTATTGCTACAGCATTGAAAGCCATTCCGAAGATATACAACCAGAAATTCTGCACATTTATATTCCTTGAATTGCGCTTCTTAATTATAGCCTGCCAGCAAAAGTAAATAATCAACATGGATTTCTACCACGATTAAGAATTTTGCTAATTGAACTTAGCAGAAGCTCTGTATGTTATGTTTTTAACTGAATCAAGACATTTTCATTGATCGAGAACTATAAATCACTGAATTCAATCAGAATCAGATTAGGCAACATCGGCAAAACGCCTTAGCAGTAAATAATCATCCAAAAACAAGTTACAGCTTCAAAAAGAAGAAATGGAACACGTATCTAAAATTTTTTACCTCAGTGTAGACTCCTGCAAATCCACTCAAAAGAGCCATCACCTGCAAAGCAAGTAAAGATACAAATGATTAAAAATTTGATTTTGAAGGAATCGATCAATTTCACTTTTCATCTTTATGAGACTAAAAGACAAATATTTTGTCAACTTACAATGGCCATTATCCAACCTGGCAGAGGTGTTTGAAGTACTTGATCAGAACTACAAAATATAATGCAAATTTACTAAGGCATAGCCAGATGATAAACGGTAAACCCTATAAAAATCTCAAATTGAGAGCAAGCATGTCCCTATCCTCGTGGGATTGAGAATTGAGATATTGGTTTCCATTTCAAGTACTCTACTCATAACCATATAAAGCATACATGTTCAAATTGTTCAATCATTATCTGGCAATTTTTGGCGTTCATCAAGATGAAATTGCCAGGTCCAGCACGTTAACCGTCATACAACAGCACTAAGACAATCTCCAAAGTCAATAAGTTTTCATCTAAGTAAAAAACATGTGCTCAAACAAACTGTGGAACAATTGAGAAAGGTTTTACGACTCTTACCGAGAATTTAGTTGTGCTGCTGTGCAGCCAGCACATAAGAGAATAAAAGCCGCCCATTGAATCTCGCTTAATCTGAATTAAAGTATCAATAAGAGAAAATTTATGGAATCCAAAAGGTTTACAATATATGTTTATTTTGGTGTATCTTCGACTTGAATGTATATTAGATTTATTTAATAGAAATTTGCATAACTGAGATTCTGAGAATTTCTATTGCTATGCTATGCTATACTGAATAATCAGCAGATGTCATCCATCAACTCTTTTTTATGGAAAAAAATCGACATGCGTGGTTTTAAGCGGCTTACTTTTTCTTAAGGATGATACGATACAAAACACCAGTACTGATAATATTCAGATTCTTCAGTATCTGATAACCCGGTGCGTCAACATAGGCAAAGATGTAATACTGCAACATAAAATTGAAAAGCACATACAATTACATTTTGGAAAATAAGACCAAGATATAGTTACAAGGAAAAAATAAATAAAAATCCACCTGTAGCAAATTCTTGACAAGATAAAGTAAGGCAGGAATGGGATAAACAATAACTTCATCAAGGGTTGTACTCAACTGGGTTCAATAAAAAATAAAAAATAAAAAATGTATGCTCATCATCTCCATGTTAATAGAAAAAATAGACATAAGCAAATAACAATTAAGTTTTACCTGTTATCATCTGTAACTCCTTCACTTTTCCATATTCTTGCCAAGGCCGCAAGTGACAAGGCACATTTCAAAGTCTCCACCTGTTTCCCGAAATAACAGTAGAAGGTCAATCCCATTGGCACCATGTCAAGTCATAACACAGGATGACTATTCTACTCACCATAAAGTTCGCTGTGGTAACACTATACTCGTACTTCCCAGCTCTCTTCGACCAGACAATAAGTATTGCTTGTGAACTTGTAAGAAAAGTCGGTGCAAGTGTAACAATTGTCCTAATCAAGGGGGGCAAAACCATCAACTTTTTATCTTTTTCAGTTTTTCTAAAGCTAATATTAGTAAAAGGAAAACGGATTATGTAAGCCGATCTTACTTGCGTTTCCACTCGGCCTGTTCCCTTGGAGGAACATTACTTACGGAAGCTGCATATCAATGGAAATCATAACAGAAATGAGAAAAACAAAGGATAATTTTATACAATCAAAATCACATAGCAATCAAACAAGCACTTTTAACCAAAACATACCAACCCCTGGAAACCCTGTGCCTCTTAGATTCTCAATGTCATCACTTACTGTTCCTCCATCATCATCCTACAAATCAAAATTCACTCAAACAAGAATAAAAGATCGGATTTAAACCTCTTATGAAGATAATTTCAATCAAATCTAGAACAAACTTCACAAATTCTGAAAGTAAACAGCATTCCTTCAATTTTTCGAGATTAACAACTAACCAGATAACTAAACTCTACTATAACCAGAAATACTTTAAATTAGCATTTATTTTCTCCAGTAAACAATTACAGCGAATTTTCGAGGAATTCAAGAAAATTAGCCACCAGGTTCACAGAATAAACTAAAGCAAATGCCGTTAAATAAAAAAACTAGAATTTGTTGGCAAAATCAACGTAAGCAAAAACATCAGTGACGAAAGATCCAATTTGGCATCCGAATATGATAATGAAGAACGTTGAGACGTACAATTGAGGAGAAAAATAAAAGGAAGAAATACCTCATCTTTGATTTTGCCATACTCCATTTTCGAATCAGCTCGTAGCAGATCTCACTACTTTCTGCTATGGAATGTGTTAAAGAAAAATAGAGGAAAAATGGCCCGATTTGAACCATACTTTTGAGTTCAGCTCAACTGGCTTTGATGATTGGGCTTCAGAGATTGTATATCTGAGATGCAGTCTCTCGTTTTGAAAATAAAGCGAATTTGAGGGGGATTGTGAAAACTGAAAATCAAAACAATTTTCTTTGCCTTTTTATTCTGTGTAAATTTTAATAAATCTATTATATTTATCAGGGTCGATAAAGACAGTTAAATTAAATTAATCGAATAAATTAAATTAACTTAATCAAATTTTATTGGTTTATTTAGTTAATTTGTTTTATTCCAACGGTTAATTCAGTTAGGTTTTGGTTTAAAAAATTTAAATCGAATAAACTTTTTATGTAATAAATTGTATATATATTTGTTTAATTTAATATAAATTTGAAACTAAATATCCAAATATGAAACAGCTCAATCAAATTGTTTAATTACATATAAATATTCAATTTTACTACTATATTTTTATTTTATAAATAAATCTTAAAAATTAAAAGGGAAAAATAATTCCATCAAATTACTTAATTAACTGCATATAAATGTTTAATTTATTTTTCTATTTTATAGATAAATCTTAAGAAAAAAAATTATCAATTCAATTTAGTCTCTATTTTAATTTGATTAAAAAATTAATGTGATTATTTTATTATTTTGAAAATAAAATCATTCGATGTATTTAATTTTATAATTTAATATATTTATTCAATTTTTAAAATATCAAAACGAGACAAAATAAGACTAACAAATATCATATCAGTTAGATTCTTTCATCGGTTTAATTATCAAATAATGTTTAATGTTAATTAGATATGATATAGAAAATATTCAAATACAAATAAATTGGAATTAAATTAAAGGCAACTGCTAATAATTTAGTAGTAATTTACAATGTTTATGATTCTTAGGGTGACAGTCCCATGGGAGCAACCCCATTGCCGTTTTGCTTGTCACACTAACCCTCTTCTTCTTGTTGCTTTGCTGTACAATCTGCCAACAACAACATGCAAAACAGTAAGTTTTCGGGACTGTAACGAGCCGGCGGCTATTGTATGATTAGCAAACGGTTAAAATGTCCGGCTAACTAAGTCGAGGACCTGGTTTTTTCTTTTACTGGTATCGATGATTTTCGTTTCACTGGTTTGCAATGCCTTCTTCCACTTGCACAAAGAAACTCTATGGACTTGTAGTACCTGCTGGCATGTCGGTATCTAAAGACGCTGCTACGTAAACACCCTAGCTTACACGCACAACAGTCAATATTATCAAATTTTCTGTCGCCTCTCGATTATTTCAAAGTATCACAACAGTGTGAAGGTATGTTAATGAGTCCTTACCACTACCGGATTGCAGACCGTTAAAATTTTCAGGCTAGAAGTGAGCCAGAATGTCTACTAATCGAATTTATAACCTAGACAGACTAAACCACAAGAGGCTTTCTTTTATGTGTGCTTTAATCGAAACCGGGAAGAGGAGGATATAAAGAGACGGTTCAAAGATACCTGTACAAAATGTGCGTGGCTGCAAACTATTGGGAACTGTGTGCATCTTTCATGCTTACATTCATACTGTTTCGCATGGTTTGTCTGCCGATCCAGCCATTTCCTTTTTTCATCATGTCAACGAATTCAGCGTAATCTATTCTTCCGTCCTGGAATGAATTGAAAAATTCACTGTTTATGCTAATGTAAATAAAGATGAATGAAGTAAATTTGTCAGCTTGAGAATATTGTAGCCATTCAGTCGTGCAGGCGAAAATGACGTTACATTATCTTGATCAACTTCTCTGATAATATCCTCAAGCAAAACATCCGTCATGTTATGCTCGACACAAGCTTGTTGAAGCTCATCAACTGTAATATAGCCGCTTCCATCCTTGTCAAAGTATTGGAACGCCGCGATGAGATGTTCCTCACGCTCTAGTTTATTAAGGTGAACGGTTGCAGCTATAAATTCTCCGTAATCAATGGTGCCACTATTGTCAATATCAGCCTGAGAATAGAAAAAGGAGCTCAGATTGTTAACTCCGTATTCGTCATGGTTAAAAGAAGGGCAGGAAAAACAAAAAAAGAACATGAAACTAATGTTCTGACAACTGCTTCACAACAGACTTACGGCATCCATGAGGGCCTTTATCTCTGTATCCCTCAAGGTTGAGCCGTATCTTCGCAATCCAGCTTTGAGTTCATCGAATGTGATTGCACCACTGTTATCAGTATCCATAGCCGTAAACATTTCTCTCAAACCTGCAATCTCCTCCTCGGAGAGACTTTCAGCTATAACCTGATAGTACAAAAGAGAGGCAGAACTTTTTTTCCGTCACAAATCACAATGACATCGAGTAAAGCCATCGTACTCATAAACATATAACTCCATTGTACACAGATGTGGATTGACAGACACACACGTCTAGAGAATCTTACCCGTAAAGCCATCTTCTTTAGTTTATTCATCGCCGAGAATTGTTTAAGACGAGAAAGTACGGCTGGATCGAGTGCCCTATCTGGGGCAACCCCATTTTCGCAAATCCAAGGATGACCTAGACAAAATCAAAGGCAATAGATATCACATGAGAAGGCATGTGAATTAATTAAAGACAACCACTTATTGCTTTGTATCAAGGTGCACTATTGGCTCAACGATGCTTTGTCCGACAACAATATACCTGAGATCGAAAACGAGCTTAAATACAGATCAAAGAGGAATCAAGTTTAAACAAACACACGTCGAACACCATACGTTGCAGCGACTGCAATTTTATTCATCTCTCCATAATCATACTACTTAAAACAAGTATGAAATGATATTACATACATAATACTTCATGAGCAGTGAGGCGCTGTGAAGGTTGAGAGCATAACATCTTCCGAATTAGGTCCTTTGCACTATCAGATATCAGGGGCCATGGATCTGAATTGAAGTCGATATACCCTTTCAACACGGCATTAAATATTCCTTGCTGTGTTTCTGAAGAACAGACAGAGAAAATTTGTTAAGTATGGAATCACTTGAAAGCTCGTAATGGTATGGAATCACAAAACACTATAAGTACCTGCCCAAAATGGCGGCACGCCACTTAGCAGTATATAGAGTATAACTCCTGCAGTCCATACGTCCGCTTCCGGTCCATAATTTTTTTTGAGTACTTCAGGAGCAACGTAATATGGGCTTCCAACCACATCGGTAAAAACTTGTCCTAAAGTAGTAAACCATATGTTATGTCAATCGACTTGATTCTGCACGGCATTGATTTGATAAACTAAAGAAGCTTCATTACTACCGAGTAAAGTCGTATGCAATAAGTTTAAGTGTTAAAGATTATGAATTGCCATTAATCACTTTGTCTTAGTCTATATTCCGGCTACTTAAATTGCTTCGAATTCAGTAACATTTAATTTCTTACCTGGTTTAAAGAATATAGAGAGTCCGAAATCGATAGCCTTGAGAGAGAAATCATTGTCCTTGTTAACTAACAAGAAATTCTCAGGCTTCAAATCTCTATGCATAACCCCGAGCGAATGACAAGCCTCGACAACCCCAACAATGATCCTCGTCAATTCAGCCGCCTTCCTCTCGGTGTAATGCCCCCTCTGGATAATACGATCGAACAACTCGCCTCCAGAGCAAAGCTCCATCACGATATGCACGTACAAAGAATCCTCATACGCACCTTGAATCGTCACGATGTTCTTATGACCGGCCAAATGATACATTATCTGAATCTCCCTCCTAACATCATCCACATCCTCCTTGGCAACCAACTTCCTCTTCGATATCGACTTGCAGGCGTAGTCAATCCCCGTAGAAAGCTCGGTACACAAATACGTAGTCCCGAACTGTCCTTGTCCTAACTTAGGGCCTAAAGTGTAAAGGTCGCGGATGTTGGGAGTCTTATGACCCATAACAAAATAGGTCTGATCATCACTACCGTGTTTCATGATGTTTCCTTGCTTGTTCGAGAAAATATCAGCCAAACGGTTATTGGTTTTCGCAGTTTCTTCGACGGATTGTGGGGGAACTAATGGCTTAGGGGGAATACTCAAACTCGAAGAAGCTTTACTACTATGCTTCGAATATATATCCTCGGGCTGATTATCGTTGCCCTTATAAAGATTCCCCTCGTTAGATCCACCGCATGTATTGCCCATCAAACAATCAAAGTTACCCCCCACAACATTTTCTTCATCCAATGATAGATCATCAATTCACACTGAAAAACAGGAAATGGAATGGAAATAATCAAAATATGTAAATTCTGGATGATTCCTATCATTGGAAACTTTAAAATTCTTAACAAAAAAATGAACATTAATTCAAATCATATCGAAAGAACCCCATATCAAATCAAAGCTTCAAACATTGAAAATGCAAAAGGAAAACGAGAAAACAAGAAAACGATTCATTTTCAATAATTTCCCAGACCAAAAAGGAAGAAGAAAAAAAAAGCAAAGTTACCATCTTTCTACATGAAACAAGATTAAACATCAAACCAACGAAAAATCTCATCTGAAATGAATTAAAAACAACGAGTCTTCATCCCAGAAATCCAAGAAAAATGGAAACAGAGATCAACTAACAAACATGTAAACATACACGATTATCAAAATAACAAAAAAAACAAAGGGAAAAGAGAAAGAACCCAGAGATGAGAGATGGAAGAAGTACCAGTTTGGAGTAGAAAAGAATGAGGTGATCGAAGGAGAGACAAAGGAGGAAATGGGTATGGTGGAGAGTGGATGGATTGTTGATTGTTTAATGTTTGAATTTCTATTCTGTTTTTTGTTTGTTTATTTTTGGGTTGCTGTTTTAAGTAACATCGGTTAAACTGAGTGGATGTACATTCTTTTATTTTTTATTTTTTTATGTTTACAGGTTAACTTAATATAAACTAAGGGTAAACTACAAATATTACCGTTACACTTTCTTTTCACTCCTATTTTGGTCAATAACGTTTTAAAATTTTCAATTTACTCATTAGACTTTTGATATTCTTATTTTGATCCCTTGGGTGTAGCATTGTTCATTTTTCAATTTTAATTGAATTAATCGACTGAACCAAAATTTAGTTCAGTTAGTCAGCAGGGTAAATAAATGTTAGATTGGTTAACCGTTATAAAAATTTAAAGTCCAATTATCGATTAATTTGGTTAAGAAATTAATCAATTGAACCAAGTATGCTGATATGATTGTTTTCTATTGACATGAAATTTATATATCATCCACGTCTTTCTATCTTTTCTTTTTATCTTGTTCTTACAAATATGAAAAATTTATAGGATTATCCATGTCTCACACTAACGTTGCAATTATTATTTTTCAATGTCTATATCATCGTTCAAAATGTTGACGAACTAGCCTTGTTATCTCCCACCACTCTATTAGTTTAGATTTTACATGTATCACTTTAAAACTCGTAACTCAACCTTAAATTAAAAACTCATAAAATTCTAAATCACCCTAGCCTATAATACCAATCATTCGATCACCATGAAATCAAGATATACAACTCACTTCCGCTTTCTTCACTTTATTACTGCTGGGATTTGAAAGAAGTTATTATCTTTGAAAAATCAAATAAAATATAAAATTAGGTTTTTTAACAGAAAGTGAAAAAAATAGAACTATTTCATATTTTTAAATAAAAATATCTAGCCAAACGTCGTTAAGTATTTAACAACAGAGTAGTCAAAATTGAAGTAAAAAAATCAGTGAATAAATTAAAAAAATTAAATTTTAATGATTAAAAATATAAGTGAGGAAAATTAAGTGATGAAATTTATAATTTACTCACAAAATAAATATTAAATATTGAACTTAAAAATGATCTAAGTGGTAAAGGAAATATTATTCTTCATGAGGGAGTCAGCATCAAGAATTTTTTTGTGATCTAAATAAATATTAAATATTGAACTTAAAAAAATGATCTAAGTGATAAAAAATGATCTTAAGTACCTCGACGGATGTTGGTGCTTTAACTCGAGACTTTTAAAGACAACAATCAACTCTTTAATTATTGAGGTAATTTAGTTCGAACACCATCTGTAATTTTATTTATAAATGTTTGAGTTTATTCAAATCTAAAATTTAAACACATATTAATTTGCATTCATATTTATTTAAAAATAAATAAATAATTTAAATATTGTATAAAAAAATTAAATTATATAATAAATTTATTAATATATTGTCTATCTTTTCATAATGATCTAAGCCATCAATTTCCAATTTAGTATATACGGTCGGTCCATCTAATTTTCAATCCAATGACGTACCAAATGTAATATACCGAAAATAAACACTTTTTTTGTTTTTCCCCTTCCTTTGGCTTAAATTGAAAATAGTTATTTTGTTATATATTTTTGAAAAGCATTAATAAGTATTTAATGCGACTAATGATTATAGAAAAATGTAATTAATGAACCCTAACTACGGACTAATACATATTTTATATTTTCTTATTTCGCATAAATTTAATAATATTATAAATTGTGGTATAATGATAAATAATAAAAATTTAAATGAAATTTAAATTAACATTAAATTTTAAATTTAATCTTATATTTTCCTTTATAAATTATTGTAATACCCCAAAAATTTAGATAATGACCAAAATGAAAATTTTGAAAGTTTGATGGCCAAAGTAGAAAAGTGAGAAAAAGTTTAGGGAATTAAGTGATAAATTTCCTAAAAAAAATTTATTCCATAAATAGATAGTTTACTCTTGAGAGTGGGGTTTTATAGAATCATATTTTTGGATTTGAAATTTTAGTAAAGAAAAATTAGAAAGGGTTAAAGCCGATAAGGAATTGAAAATTCATATCGAATTGGAATTTTACAAAAAATTGAAGGATGTTATAAAGTGATTGGAAATATTATTTTAATATTTTAGATCAGAGAAATTTGGTTTGAAAATGTGCAATTTTTCAGATTTAACCAAAACAGTGGAATTAGTGACTAAAACGCAATATTTAAAAAAATCAGGGGAAATTTCGTAAATCAAAGTCAAATTAATTCATATTTGACTTTGGAAGATGATAAGGATGAGGTGTCTTGGTTTTATAGTGAATAGGAAGATTCATTAAGGGTGAGTTGGTCTTATCTCAATTAAATGAATATTTTATTCATTTAAAGTTAGATTAAATGTAAATTAAGATGAAATGTACCTAACATTTCATTTCACCTTGCTCATCTTCTACTCCAAGTTGCGTGGGTTTTCTCCAAAGGTGAGAGAAAGTTTCAATTCAATTTTTAAGCAATTTCATTTGGATTTTGAGTATGTCGTAAAAGAGAAAATTGTTATACGCGAAAAACGATATCATTTGGTACTAATATTGCATGATAATCTTGTTGGTGTTCAAAGATCCCAAATTCTATAGTTTGTGTTCATATAAGGGATCACTAAATTGATGATGAATCTTGATGTTTGTGAGCTAGTAGATTCATATTAAAGCATGTGTGATGATTAGAACATGTTTAATCTTCCTAAAACTTGTTCTTTAAGTTTCAGCCATGGATTGTTTGAGTGAGAAAAATTATGGAAAATTATATAAGGGTTGGAAATGATGAAGGAAGTATTCTACAAGCCTTAGAAAAATTGGGGATCATTTTGTAATTTTTGAAAAATTGGGGATCAATTCAATAATTTTGGAAAATTGATGGGTTGTTGTGTAAGTGTTATATAATTGATGTACTATGCTAGAAATTGATGTTTGGGAATTAAAATCAGTGTTAGAATGTGAAATTTGATTATTTTGGGAAGTTTAGAAATTTGGTGATTTTAATGTAAATATCGAATTGTTTGGGAGTGTTTATTGTAATTATGTCTTTGTATGGGTACTTGGTTGATAATACTTTCAATACTGGAATTTTTGTATTGAAATTTTAAGTGGTAAAATGGTGAAGGATAATTTTATATATAAATTGGAAAAGTTGGTTCCAATGTTAAAAGGAATTATTAAGTATTAAGTATTTTGATAGAAAATGAGTTCCAATTATATTATGGAGTTATTTTGGGATATGTTAATATTAGTAAAATACTAACATATGTATTATTATGAATTTGTGATTTATACAGATCCTGATTGATTTGTGATCGAATCAAATCAAATAGAAAAGGGTTTATCAGGAAGACTTGTGATAAGTCGACCTTGTTTATATCAACATGATTTTATATCATTTTTATAACTTCGATATGACATTGATATGTCATAGTGTGAAGTTATAATGCATTGATCATGAATAATACGATATTTTACCATGAATTGTTATTTTGGGTATGAACTTGTTGAGTTAATCGATCGATGGAATAGGCCAAGAGGGGGGTGAATTGGCAATAAAAAAGTTTCGGTGGAAGCTTTTGCAGAAAATTGAAAATATTTGCACAGCAATTTAGAGTGATTCGACTTTCTCTACTAAAGTCTACGTCCACTACCTTAGCTATCCATACTAAGGATTTTTCACAAATTCACTAATTTTTCTTTCTTTTGAAGACAAAGAGTAACCTTACAAATCCCTCAAGAATTATTCCCCAAATTCTTGAGAACACTCTCTCCCAAAGAGAACAATACAAATTTTGCAAACTTATAAGAAAATCCTCACAAGGCAAGATGTTTGCACAATTCTAGAACAAAGAAAGAACACTCAAGAATAATACAATTGAGCACAATAAGTGTTCTTGAAAGAAAAAAATGAATATTGAATGAAATAGGCTTGAAAATGCTCAAACTTGAGGTTTGATATTTTCTCTTTGATTCTCTCTTGATTCTTGTTGATTGTTGTTTCTTATTGTTGATCAATGGCTTCTAAGCTTGTTTAAATACTCATTCAATTGATTCTGAACGTTGGGGATGATTAGTGGAGTCAATGGAGCCGTTTAAGTGTGAAAACAATTAATAAAACTGCTTGGAGCGTGGGGGGAATCGGTACCCCCTCATAGGAAATCGGTTCCCTTAGTGTAAAATTCAAATATTTCGGCCGTTATACAGGGGGAATCGGTTCCCTCCGAGTAATCTGTTATTTCTCGGAGCAAAACTATTCAGGGGGAATCAGTACCCCCTTGGGGGAATCGGTTCCCTCTGGACAAACTATAATTTTTGGCTTTGAAAATGTTCGAAATACTTTGTAAAATTGTTTTGAGATTATTTTAAGATTGAAACTTAATTTTACATTTTTAGTAAGGATTAAAAATGACATATGAAAGACTTGGAGTAACAATTTGAATATTCAAATAATTGTATAGAATATTCTTTAGAAAATCATTCGTAAAATCTTAAAATTCATTTATGCTTAGTTTGTTATATTGAAACATCAAAATGTTTTCAACAATATCCCCTTTTTGATATAACAAAACATTTGAGTAATTTTAAGATTTTCTAATTTGAAAATCATTTTTGAAATTTAATTACTTCCCCTTACTCTAACACTACTCCCCCTTTTTGTTAAATCAAAAGGACTCTAAAATGTTTTTAAACAAGGTTTTGAAAAACTTTAGCCAATTGATATTTAGAAATGTAAAGCTTAAGCTACTAAGATCACAATCAAGAGAATATGTTAGCCATTAGTTTCATAATCCAATATTCATAAACGAATGTGAAATGGTAAAATTGGTCATAGTCATCTAATTGTAAATGATTCAATAATGAATAAATATATATAAATATAAGTTCAAACATCCATAAAACATCAAACAAAAACATCCAACAATCATATCAAAGTTAAACATTCAAAATGTTAAAACAATAATCTCTAAGTCTTACTTAAGAGTACTAA